CTGGTTGGCAGTCAAATGCCTTAGGCACTACACCACCAGAGTAATACAAATAATAGAATGACCACCTACCTCACTTACCAAAAAAAAAAAAAAAAACACTGCCATGGAGTCAGATCCAACTCATAGTGACCCCTCCTTGGGTTTCCGAGGCAATATCACTGCACAAGCAGATTGCCCAACCTTCCTTCCAAGGTGTGGCTGGTGGGTTTGAACCGCCAGCCTTCTGGTTAGCAATTTAGACACTATGCTACCAGATCTCCCACCTCACTACCACCCTACTTAAAATTAATCCTTACCAAAAACTTCTTTCACAGAAATTAAAGAAGGAAAGACAACCTATGTTTAAATTTTAAGCGACATTGACTAGCCAAAACAATCTTGAAAAAAAAGAATGAAGTTGGAGGAGTCCACTTCCCAATTTCAAAAGTTGCTTCAAAGCTACAGCAATTAAAATAGTGAAGTACAGGCATACGATTATACATATAGATCAACTACATGGAATTAAGACGCCACAAAGGAGCTCTGGTAGGGTGGTGCCTAAAGCATTTGACTACTAACCAGAAGACTGGCGGTTCAAACCCAGCAGCCACTCCTTAGAAGGAAGGTTGAGCAATCTACTTCCATAGTGATACTGCCTTGGAAACCCAAGGAGGGGTCACTATGAGTTGCATCCGACTGGACGGTAGTGAGAAGACTCCAGAAATAGACCCTCACAGCTATGGTCAACTGATTTTCAACAAAGGTGTCAAGACCATTCAATGGGGAAAGAACAGTAATCTCTTCAATAAGTGATGCTGGGAAAGTGATATAGTTATATACAAAAGAATGAAGTTGGACTCTTACCTTATACTATACATAAAAATCAACTCAAAATGGATCAAAGTCCTAAATGTAAAAACTATAAAACTCTCAGAAGAAAAGTTAGGGGTAAATCTTCATTATCTTTGATTTGGAGATGGTTTCTTAAATACAACACCAAAAGAATTAGACAAAAAAAAAAAAAAAAAAGATAAATTGACTTCATAAAATTTAAAAACTTTTGTGCATCAAAGGACACTATCAAGAGAGGAAAAAGACAACTCAGAATGGAAGAAAATTTTTGCAAACCATATATTTAGTAAGGATTTAGAATCCAGATGCATAGAGAATTACTGCAAATAAAAAGACAACCCCATTTACAAAATGGACAAAGGAGAGTGACAAAAGACAAAATAAATTGGACTTCATTAAAGTAAAAACTGTTTTGCATCAGAGTGCATCAATTTATTAACAAATTGAAGAGACAGCCTATAGAAAGGAAGAAAATACTTGTGAAACATGTATCTGATAAGGGCTTAATATCCAGAATATATGAAGAACTCCTACAGTTCAAGAAGAAGATAAATAACCCAATCAAAAAATGGGCAAAGGATTTGAATAAACAGTTCACTAAAGATGACATACAAATGGTTACTAGCACATAAAACGATGCTCACCATCATCAGCCATCAACCCAAACCAAACCCATTGGCATCCAGTTGAATCCAGCTCATAAGACACAGTAGAACTGCCCGGTAGGGTCTCCAAGGCTGTTGTTGTTATGGAAGCAGACTGCTCCATCTTTCTCCTGTGGCGCAGTTTTAACTGCCGACCTTTCGACTAGCAGCCGAGCACTGTGCTACATAACCACTGAGACACAAGGACTCCTTCATTAGTCATTACAAAAAAAAAAAAAAAAAAAAAAAAACTGCCATCAAGTGGATTCTGACTCATAGCAACCCCCCATGGGGTGTTCAACACTTTAAATCTTCACAGAAGTAGATTGCCTCATTTTCCTATCAAGGAGCAGCTTGTGGGCTTGAACTGCCTTCCTTCTGGTTAGCAGCCAAAAGTCTCAGGCACTGCACCACCAGAGCTCCTTCACACACAGTCAATTGATTTTTGACAAAGGGTCAAGGTAATTCAATGGAGATTGGACAGTCATTAGGGAAATGGAAATCAAAACGACAATGAGATACCATTTCAGCACCAGGAGAATGGCTATTATCAGAAAAACAGAAAACAACAAGTGTTGGTTAGGATGTGGAAGAATTGGAACCCTCATCTATTATTGCTGGTGACACTGTAAAATGGTGCAGCCACTGTAGAAAACAGTTTGGCCATTTCTCAAAAAGTTAAACATAGATTTACCATAAACTCATTGCCGTGGAGACCAATCAACTCATAGTGACCGCTCCTTGGGTTTCGGAGGGGCTATCTCTATGGAAGTAGATCACTCAATCTTGCTTCCCAGAAGTGACTGGTAGGTTTGAACCACCAACCTTCTGGTTTGCAGTCAAATGCCTTGGGAATTAGGTCACCAAAGCTCCTAGATTTACCATATAATCCAGCAATTATACTAGGTAAGTACAGATAAGCATTGTTTAACACAATGTCCACATACACGTCCTTCGTCCCATAAGCTTTTATTTCTTTAAAAAAAAAAAAAAAAAAGAGTCTTGCAGCACTGGAGTACCGGTGAGATACAGGCAGGTGCGGCAGAGGACACGGTTCTGGGCACGGGCTCCAGGCTTGGAGGCTTTGTCTGGTGAGCAGGCAACGCTGCGGCTCCTGCAGCGCGTATTGGTGGAAGAGCAGGCGGGACAGCGCGCACTCAGCTCCCTCCCACTTGCTTTCTCTCGCTCCCCTTAGCCACTGGCGCCACCAGCTCCTCCAGCCTCTGCCAGCAACTCGAGCAGCTCCAGCCACAGTAGTAGCAGTAGCAGTAGCAGCGGTGCGGCAACAAGGACGACTGGTAGCTGACTCCCGTGAGGTTTTAATACGGTGTTCGCACATCCAAATTACATAACATCCCATTTCATAGAACTCAATATGAAAGCAAAAAAAAAACAAACTCACTGCCGTTGAGTCGATTAGACTCACAGCGACCCCTCCTCAGTATAGTGGACATACACAACGCATACTTGTGCTCAAAGCAGGGACTTAAAACAGATAAAACAAGCAAACCAACAATCCTCGCTGCCCTCGCGTGGGATCGACTCATAGCTACCCCTCCTAGGATTTCCGAGGTAGTATTGCCAAAGGGGGAGCTCTGGTGGCGTAGTGCCTAAGGCACTTGACTGCTAATCAGAAGGCTGGCGGTTCAAATCCACCAGCCACTCCTCGGAAGGAAGGTTGGGCAATCTACTTCCTTAGTGATACTGCCTCGGAAACCCAAGAAGGGGTCGCTATGAGTCGGGGCCGACTCCACGGCACATAACAACATCACTATGGAAGTGTTGTTGTTAGGTGCCGTGGAGTCGTTTCGGACTGATGGGGACCCCACGCACAGCAGAACAAAACACTGCCCGATCCCGCGCCAGCTCCGATCCCTGCTATACTTATATCTACGGAAGATATATATTATATCTACGGAAGTAGATTCCCCAGTCTTCCTTCAGAGGAGCGGCTGGTGGGTCTGAACTGCCAGCCTTCCGCTTAGCTGTCAAATGCTTTAGGCACGACGCTACCAGAGCTGTACACAAATGTTCATTGCGGCATTATTCCCCAAAATCAAAAGATGAATACAACACAAGTGTTCATCAACAGATGAGTGAATAAACAAAATGTGGTCTGCCCATACATTGGAATATTGTTGTGTTGCTGTTGTTATGTGCCATCGAGTGGGCCCGACTCATAGCGACCCCTCCGTGGGTTTCCGAGGCAGTATCACTACGGAAGTAGATTGCCCCATCTTCCCTCCAAGCAGTGGCTGATGCGTTTGAACCGCAAACCTTCTGGTTAGCAGTCAAGTGCCTTAGGCACTATGCTACCAGAGCGCCCAAAAGAAACAGCCCGGTTACCTGGTGGGGCTACCTTGGTGGGGCTACGTGGTGGGGAGCGGCTGGTGGGTTTGAACCGCCA